TTTTCTGGACTAGATGACAGATTTTCATTGATCCACATTCATTTACTAGCTCTTAGATTCAAGGCTTTTGAATAGAAGCTAGGAGATAGAAGAATTAGAAGATTATGAAAAAGGGCACGAGTATAATCAGGCTAAGTCGTCCAAGATAAGAAATTAGATGGCTTAACCATCATGAGGATAGAAAAAATGTAATTTTTTTACATATGTATATTGAATATATAAAATAATATTATATATATATACACACATACATACACACATACATATAGAAAATTTCCAAGAGAAGATTTAAAAGTGTGTGCAAATATTCTTGAAACTAATTTAAACACAGATCACTTTTCATCCTAATGTAATCTTAGGAAACAACTCACTTCAAATTGTTTGGTACTAATATTACATGGACTTGTGAAAATACATACATGTTCAATTGAAAAGACGGTATAACATTGTTAAATTAAGTTTATCAATTGTATTATTCAATAAATATTTGCCATTACTTTGCTTGAGATACAACTAAGTGTTAAAAAGTCATGTTGAACTCCTTCTTTATTTCTATTATTTGTTTTCAGTGCATTTATCTTCTATCATGTTTCATACATATAGATTTTTTTTAACAGCAAAATCTTTGTTTCTACTGCATGTTATTAAAATGTGATGCTTCCCTTTTTTGTTGATTTATAATTTCATGTTACCTCATCTTAATATTTCTATTCCATATACCTTTGTTTTAAACGCATTTGTTGTTTACTTGCTGATTTATTTATTTTCTACTAAAAAAAAACACTTGGTTTTAAGAATGTTTTCTTGAATATTAAATCACTGGGAGTTACATTTTAATTTGACAAGAGAGTCTTTGTCATTTGATAGGTCAACTGAGTCCTTGATTCCTTTTTTGTTTCTTTCCTTCTCCTTTTTTCCTTTGTTTTACCTACCTCCCTTCCTTCATTTTTTCCTTAATATTAGTGCCATTTCATGCTACAGAGCTTTATTTACATAACTTTTCTCAAATGTTTCAATCTTCTACGCATGATTCTAGTGTGAAATTATATAAAAATATTAGATTCACAATAAAGCGTAACAGGAAAAAATCTAAAATTTAATGTATATGATATCAGGTGGCACCTATTTAAAAAAATGTTTTATTGGGAATTATCTGTGGAAATATAACATTTTAGAGTAAAGCAGTCTTTAACAGTAGATTTATGAAAAGAATCAAGAGTCCAATGTTTTTATGGGTGTTATTTGACAGGTATTGAGCAGCAGCAAATCATTTTAAACATGTTTTTCAAAAGTCTTGGATGATGAAGACAAATCATGACTTTCAATACTACTACACTAACATAAAGTTCTAGCAGTTTTCAAAATGGAGTAAAAATTCAGAACAGCAAGGTTTTCAAAGATATTTATTTCTTTGGTGGTTCTCTTTTCCTTCTTAGTACTTGGGTGAGTTTGGCATTGAACAGACTATGTATTGAGAGCTTAGAAATGGATATACACTGCACAACGTCCCTTATTAAACCACACTTCACTGTATCTTACATTCATCTAGTATACCAGAAAATTCGATTTTATTATTATAGGAAATTATGTCAGTAAGTTTAGAAATTTGATTATGCCCATTTATATGCTAAAACGACATTTCCCCATATGTCATTAGCAAAGGATGTCTGCTAAGGACTACATATCACTTTTGGATCTTATCTTTGATTTCTCTTTTCTCCTGAGGAAGATATGTTTTCTATTGTCTTTGGCGGTCTATCATTAATAGTGACAACCTAAGAATCTTTAACAAAATTTGTTGTACCTTGGTTGTATATGATTTATAATCCCCAAGTTAATTGACTTTAGCATCTTATTAAATTTCAGAGAGCCAATAGGTTTCAAATCATTGTGAGCAATGCCTCCAACATTTTTTATGAAGTGCCTCCAACATAATTTTTAGTAAATCTACTTTACTGCTGGATTTTTGTTTATTTTTAAGACAACTATTAAGATCAATAATTTTGTTATCCATTACCATATATTTGTACTGGTTTCTGATTACATAACCATATAGCTGGGAGACCTTATCTTTGTGTTCTGTAATTTATTCAAATGAGTCCTAGTATTCCCATAATTCAATATTCTGCTTATCTGATTGATTCTTCTAGGTTCACATATTTTGTAGTATGTATTTTTTTCCTTTCATGGAAAATTTAAAATACTTTATCTGAATCTCTATTTTCTGTCTGCTTGAATGTGAAATAAATTGCTTTTAACAAAAATGCATTAGTTTTTGGAACTGGGTACTGAAATCATTATAATTAAAGATTACCAAACTATAAATTTAGTTCTTTCATTTTTAATTTAGATATTAATATGCTTATTTTCTTCAAGTTTGTCATTATTTTAGAACAGTGATTCCTCTGTCTATGCTTTTATCTATTCCTAAACATTCCACTTTAAACTAGTTTTAATTTGAGTTTTTTACTGTATTTCTTTCCCATTGAATTAATGTTTATCATTTCTATCTTTACCACATTATTTTAATGTTATTTGTTACAAGATAACAGTTGCTTCTCTCATTGAGAGGAATTGTTTCACTCACTAATATTCTGATTATCTTACGCCTTTACTTCCTTTATTTTAGAATATAACTTTCCTACCTCTTTCACAGAATGAGACGTCTGGAAAAACTCAAATGACTTTTCTTTCAGTCTTTCTGCCTACCTGGAAATTTGACTGAAATAATATCATTTTACCAGAATTATTCTTATAATATGCTTCTGTGAGTCTTATGTAGTATTTAAATAATACTCCAGATTTTACACTGAACCATGGAGTGTTTTTCCTACTCATGCATACATAGCATGGAATGTCACATTCATCTCTGGTCACCAAGATGTGTATGGATTTTTTCCCAACACTCATCAAGAAATTCTCCAGTGGACACCAGCTGAGTCACCTTTAATTCGATTCAATTCTGATATTATCTACCTAGAGATAGCAACAGATCCTGCAGGTCAAGGATTCAGTCCCACAAGACAGCTCTCCATTACAGATGTCAATCACAAGTCCCAGGCTGTGACCTGTGTTTATGATCATCAGGGTTCCCGTGGCTCCTTCCTTGGGATAATTTGCAACAGCAGCTCCAAGAACTCAGATAAACACTTTACTTATGTTTACTGGTTTATTGATAAGGGATATAATGAAAGATACAGATGAATAACCAGATGAAACGATATACAGTGCAACATCTGAAAAGGTCCCAAGTACAGAAGTTTCTGTTTCCATGGAATTGGAATACACTACCCTCTTGGCACATGAATGTGTTCATCAACCATAAAGCACTTCAAATTCCCATAGTTCAAGAATTTTTGTGAAGGTCTTGTCATGACCACTCTGCCATGATTGATTGTTAACTCCATTTCTAGTCCTCCTCCTCTCTCTAGAGAATAAAAGGCAAGGCTGAGAATGCCAAGTTCATAATTATGGCTTGGTATTTCTGTTGGCTGGTCCCCATCCAGGAGCCAACCAAGAGACACCTGTAATACCTGAGAAATTCCAAGGGATTTTGAAGCTCTGTATCAGGAACTGGTGCAGAGACAAAATATCTGAGGCTCTCAGCTAAACTTCAATTTCATTATACACACCTTATCACTAAGGAAATTACAAAGGTTTTGGAAGTTTTGTGTGAGGGGCTGAGGACAGAGACCAATATACAAAGGGTGCCAAAAACCATGTATACACATATTTAAAGAAAGATAAAAATATTAAAATTGTTATACTTGATATAAACCAATAACAAAAGATGAATGCAAATCATTTTTGACTTCTGTAATTATAAGAGGTGTTCAGAGTGATTACAATCAGTGTCATAATTAATACATAGACAACATCTTTTAAAATATATATATATACATACATTTATAATAATTAACAGGTGAGATATGTACGCACTACACTTTTGAATTATTGCATATCTTTAGATAACTTTGTGCATCTGAGATGCAAATTTCTTGAGTCAATTTGGAAATTTCGTGCTGCAATTATCTTCTTTCTGTAGTTTATAAGTGGTATTTTGTGTTTAACTGCTGGCAATGCAAAGATGTTAGATTTATTTTCCTTTGTTGGTGACTTGTCCTTACATAAGAAAAGTTATACATATTTTTTATTATACTTAGAGATGACGCATTTTATCAGGATAAGTCCAATTAGGGACTTTCATCAGTGTAGCCTATAACTCAGTGAGCACTCTCAATATGAAGACACAGTTCTTCATTCAACCCAGCTAAATTTTCTTCAATCAATTGTTTTGTTATTCCTGATTCTCCATCTGTCTCTTTTTCTCCCTTTGAAACTCCTATTCTTTTCCTGTTAATTTTCCTAAACCTGCTAAGGTTTTGGTCTCAATTTCCTCTCATTTAATCCAATTTCTGAATGCATCTTCCTAAGTGCTTAAAACAAATCAGGTGTCCATCTGTTTCCTCCAGCAGTTTTTTTTCTCTTGCCATGTGTTCCAAAATTTCCATCTTATCTTTCTCTCTCTGACTCCTGAGGCTCTCAGATAAACTTCAATTTCATTATGCCAGCGAATCGAGACTTAGATTTTTATGTTCGAATATATTTTATGGCCAGAATCCTCAGGGTTTTAGAGTCAAATGGGACTCTTTCCCTGAGAGGCTGCAGATTAAGAAGAGACTATCACCACCCTACTGAGACAGATAAATAGAAGAGTTTTTTGTGTTCTCTCGTATTGGTCTACTTCCAACGATCCTAGTAATGAAGAATCAGCTCACGTATGATTTCTAATACAGACTTATTGAGACCAAGGAGATCCAGGCCACACTCCTGGGGAAAAGTCAACCTTTAAATATCACTTTCGGCATTCTTCCACTCAAGTCTTTTAGATACCTGGACACCAAGCCCATTAAAGAGTAAAGCATACAGCATCAGCTTTTCATTTGGGGAGATAAGAAGAAAAAGAATGTGGATGAGGAATCTGAATTGGAAACTCTGAAAACAGAGATGGCATTTTAATGGATTAAAGAAATCCAAGCCATGTGATAATTTGGAAATGAACTATAGGCATTTACAACATGATAAAGAAGATGGAAAAGATGTTTAATCTTTTAGGAGATATAAAGAATGTCATGATCATATAGTGAATATTAAGGATAAGCAAACAAGAGCCACCTAAGATGATGTTCAAGATTCTTCTTTGAAAGAAAAATAACAAGTAAGTTCTGTATCAACTTATGAAAAAGAGAAAAAATATATTATTTGAGCAAAACTGGCCACAGAATATACTGATGTTTCTTTCAAATCTTCTACTCAGGGTTGGATTTCCAATTATTTATTAGTTTTCTATTAAGAGCCATAGCCAGATAAGATAATTTAAGAATATAAGGATCATAAAGATTATCAGCAACTTTCTCAGTTTCTTTAATTCTACTTTGAAAATAAAAATCTCTGCTTACACTATATTCATTTAGTTAATAAACATTTGTTATCTCTATTCTATTAACACAAACTGAATGAGCAGTATAGAATCAAAGACGAAGCACATTCTCTCTCCTCAAGAATTATAGTCCCATGAAACAAAGTTCACTGTTAGAGAAACTCATGGGATGTCATTAAAGAGAGGACCTGTGGTGTGGATTGGTATGAGAAGTGGTAAGTTTCAAGAGAAGTTAATTAAAGAAAGCTCTGAGGCACTTCAGGAAAAAAAGACCACAGAATAAATAATTGTGGCAAAAATAGTATAGCGTTGGTGAAGCAACACAAGCAATTTCATGTGGTTAAATAGAAAGTGTAAACCTGGGATTGAAAAGGAGAGTCTGGTTGGGGCAGTAAGTGCTAATTCATGAAAGAAATTATTTAAAAATTTGAGAATATATACATAAAGAGGAGCTATGAAATAATTATAAAATTTTTTTCTTGACAGCAACATGGTCAGTTTTTTTAAAGATTGATCATTCTCTCTATTATGATATAAATGAATTCAAGGAGGATAAGACGAGAAACAACAGAGAGATTTAGGAGGTTATTGCATTTGATTATGAAAGATATTGTAATGTCCAAATGACATCATTTGAGTATGAATAAAGTTGAATTAAAGTCAATTTTTAGATATCTTGATTTAATTTATTTGTCAAGTTAGACACAAAAGTGGACAGGTAGACATGCATGTGTAAGACTGGGAAATTGATAGCTGGGTTGAAAACACAGATTTTGAGTCAGCAGTTATTGCATAAAAGCATACAGGGTAAAGTGGTATTAATCTGAGCTGGGATATTGGTAGTAAGCAAGCCTAAAGAGTGGAAGAAAAATAAGGTAACTCAAAAATGGATTAAAAATAAATTATCAGAAATTATTATCATGAAGAAACTAGTTTTTAAAAAGATACAAAGATATCTAATAGCAGACATCACTATCTTTACTAATATTTACTTCCCTCTTGCCCTGGGCAAATGAGAGGTTTATACTCCCTCTTTTCTTTGGAGTCAGGCATGGTCAACACATTTGCCTTGATCAGTAAAATGTGAATAATAAAGACCTATGCTACTTCCAGGTAAGAGACAATAATTGTCTAACCCCCTTATAATCCACCTATCCCAACTTTGGTATGGCAATCACAGAAGCATTTGTTGAGATGCATCTTCAAAAAGGTTAAGGCAACAATTTTACCCAAAATAATATACCATCTACTATTTATAGCTGAGTGAATATTACTGCTAATGCTACAGCAATATTAGCCATCAAAATAACTGCTATTGTTCATTGGATATTCAATGGTGATCTTTGCAGAATAGTTTAACTGAAGTAATGATATAAATCAAACTACAGTGTGTCTAGGGTTTTAAGGTGTGAAATAGTGGACATGAAGTGTGTCATTTGCTGTTTTATGACTTTCTAGGAGAGCAGGAGAGGGAGAAAGTAGATTTAGGGAACTGTAGAGTCAAGACTAGGTCCAGTTTGGCAAGGGTGAATGAAAGAAAGAGACTTTAGTAATGTATGCACTGAAGGGAGTGAGTCAGTTGAAATAGGAGAAAAAAATGAAAGAAAAGATATGGGGGGGGGATAGAGTGATAAATAAAACTATTTTCCACAAAAAAGCAGGAGAAGGTGAGCTAAAGGATGCACAAAGGCTTTAAACAGTAATAAAATATTTTCAGTATTTCAATATCCTAGAAAGGAAGAGAAAGGAAGAACCAAGATTTAGTTAAGGTTATAAAAATGTCCTCTGTGCTAAAAGAGATATTAGGTGGTTTATTAGTAATGCAATTATGTTTTCAATAAATTTCAAATATGGAATAATAGGAAAAAAGTTAGGAGTACAGAGATTTAAAGCAGTAGGGAATAATTAGAAGAAAATGGGTAGAAATTTACACATTGATTATGGAGATAGAAAACTTTCTTTTAACTTGGTCTAAAGTCCTTTTTAATGATAAAACTACTCAGTATCCTAAGTAATATCTACCCTGGAGTTAGTGCCTCTGTCATGTGTTATAAAAAATGGTGCTGAGCAGCGTGACTCCTCTAAAATTGTTTAATATGGCAATGGTTCAATTATAGAATGAACTGAAGAAATAACTCTATTAGACTTGTTTATAAGCAATATTATATTACTTGCTATTATTATAGCTTATGCTTTAATTGTATGAGTAATCCTGTGTTATGTACCAAATCACCACACACTATGTTGCTCAAAGCAGCATTCTTATCTCCCAATTCGCTTTGGACAGAAGACTGGTAAGGAGTGGTTATGTTTTTGCTTATGGTCTGACAGCAAGATCTCTTACCTGAAGCTTAAGGTCTTCAGTCAAACTGATTCAACTTGTTAGAATACAATTCCTTTTGTTTATAGGACTGAAAGCTGGCAGTTGGGCAGAAGAGGGCATTCTAAGCATTGGGAGACTGCTCTTTCCTACCTTCTCCATGACGTCAGTTGTTTTCTCAAGGCCAGCAAGAGAATGTCTATGTTCCTTTGAGTCTGACTTCCTCTCATTCAGACTTCCAGACCCATACATGAAGGGCTCATGTAGGTCAGGCCTACCCATATAATCTCCCTTTCGATTTACTCAAGGTCAACTAATTAGTAACCTTAATTACTTCCACAAAATCCCCTTTGTCAAGTACTATTGTATAAACATGAGTAATATCCCATTCAATTCACAGGTTCTGAATATACTCAAGATGAGAAAATCATATAAGGTATGTGCAGCAAAGATCAGAAATCTTGGAGGCTATTTTAGAATTAAAATTATGCCACGATTGTCCTTACACTTAAATGATACATGAATTATTGAACATATGTGAAAAAATATTAAAATATGCTATTTCATTCCCCATTCAATATGTTTTCTGATATTATCATTTGATAACTTCTCTTTCAAATTTTCTACTACATTGTATTAAATGTGTGTCCCATTTTGAAATTCATAAAAGTCATTTTGAAAACTGATGTAGAAGAAAGAGGAGGAAAGAACAAAGGCATGCAAGGTAAAGAAAGACAGGAAGAGGGTTTTTTAAAATATGTAAACAAAATATAAAATTCTATGAGCTCCTATGACTGACCTAAAATAATATTTTATCTCCTGTAGCCATGGGGCTGATAAGAAGAAAATGCAGACCAAATTTTTAAATTTTCAAGTAAAAAATTACAATGCAAATGAAATTGCAGAATCTCTCTGGGGTTCTTATGTGAAAGTGAGTATGTTTGATTAGAAAAATGTGAAAAATCCTGAATGTGGAAAGAGAGAATTGTGTAAAGTCTGATAGATATGATAATTTGCCACACACCAAATCTTCTTTAACTTTGCTTTTAAGAATAAAATCTCTTCCCTGACTGAGAATGTTAGTATTCCTTTGCTCAAAGATGCTAATGAGGAAGGTGCCTTACAAAGGGATGCTGATTGTTTTTAAGACCCACAAGTAGCCTCTCTCATGTCTCCCTGACCCAGAATTAAATAACCAGGGTATTTTCAGAAGAATGAGGATAAACATGTTCCCAAGAAAAACTCAGATAATATTCCCTTCACCAGTGAATTAAGTAGGGTTCAGAAGATAGCTTTTTTTCATAAGTGATTTGAGCTATAGTAATGGTGAGAAAGACACATACATGCCTCAAAAAGAAAGTCCTATAATGGTTGTCTTCGACAGGCCCATGATTACACCTCTCACTTACTTTATTTCTGTAGTGGTAGTGGGATTGTGGAGTAGCACAGGTCAACTGAGAGTTCTTAACCTGTATCTTTAAGATGGGTGTGGTTAGCACTATCCATAACAATTGCAGAAAAACAATAAAAATAATCTGGCCTGCAGAGACTTGAATAGAGATACTTGTTCATAGTGTTCCTCAAGAGGAGAGTGATTGATGCAACGGCTTTGCTATGTGCCCACGTGACTAAACTGAATTATATTTCTCAGTATTCCCTTTTTCTGTGTTTCTAATAAGGGTGCATAGAAGGGATGAAATAGTCATTTTGCAGAACATGCATTGATAATCTGTTGACTCAACTCATTGGCATAGAGCAGCAACAAAGTCTTCAATTGTTTATTGTTTTCTCTTCTCCTTGGACCTTCTTTATTTGAATCCAGGGTCACATGCGGTATATGTATGTTCAATTTTATGATAAAGGGCACTTTTTTCTCCAGGATACCCTCATCACTAAGATCAGAGGCAACAAAAAAGAAGGATGGGTTTTAGTTTGTCCTGTGTTTCCAGCCTTTTTGGTATCTTCTCTTCCTGCCCTTCTGTGTATGTCAGTGTTCAGCATTAGGTATAGAAATATCCTTACAAAGACTACTTAGTCATACTCCACAATCGTGTAAGTCATTTTCTACACTAGATGACCCATTGGTTCTTCTCTGATTGAACTCTGGCCAAAACAAAGAGAAATAAAGTAAATTTTTTCTTAATATGTATAATAGAAAAAATAAATGAAAACAAATCTTCTATGGTTTGAATGATGGTATTGTCTCCAAAATTCATGTTAGAATTGAAGTCCCAATGCAATAGTTTTCAGAAGTAGAGCCTTTGGGAATGATTAAATCAATGATGATTCCACCCTCAGAGGTGAGATGAACACACAAAAAATCTCAAGATTGAAAGGAGTCTTCTTTTGCCTTTCTATCCTTTCTTCTATGTAAAGACACAGCATTCCTCCCCTCTGACACAGCAACAAGGCACGATGTTGGAAGCAAGGAGCAGCCCTCATCAGACAACAGTTCTGCTAACACCTTGTTCTTGGATTTCCCAGTCTCCAGAACCATGAAAAATAAATTTCTGTTCTTTATAAGTTACTAGTTTCAGATATTTTGTTATGCACAGTTGGACTAGGACAAAATGTAAGTGGGTTGAAGACACTTAAAGGAATCAGCAGGTTGAAGAATCAATTCAATTCTCAGATGTGAATTACAACATCGATTCTAGAGCTGCTAGAATGAACTGGCTTGCCCTTGAAGGGCAAGGGAACTGGCTTGCCCTTGAAGGTAAACCGTAGAAACAAAACTACAAATATGTAATAACAGTAGTCTTTCTGACTTTCCCCAAATAGACCAGTGAACATTTTCCAATATAGCTTACTTTGGAGAAAGAGAAATATCCAGACCTGCTCAATTCACCAGCTCTGAATTGACATTAATTTTTTATAATCCAATAGGCCACTTCAGTCCACTACTCAGAGTGGGAGCTTATGTAGGTCAGTTGAGAAATGGAATGTTGGCCTGAATCCATCTACAAGTATGCATGGTAAATCTGCAAAACTACTCTGTAAATTCTGTAGTTATCTCTCCAATTTTTGAATAGGTAGTTGAAATATTTATACTTGTAGCTGACAGAATCCCTGTGTTGATTCCCAGCCCCATGGAGAAAAGACTCTTATAGTACAATGAAAAAGTAGAAATATCTATCTCATTTTTTTATTATTATTATTTTTTGAGTTGACGTCTTACTCTGTCGCCCAGACTGGACTACAGTGGCACACTCCCAGCCACCTCAGCCTCGACCTGCTGGGCTCTGGTGATCCTTCTGCCTGAGCCTTCCAAGTAGCTGGAGCTATAGGCATGTGCTACCACACCTGGCTATTTATTTATTTATTTATTGTAGAGATGAAGTCTCATCTAGTTGCCCGGGTGGGTCTCAAACTCCAGGACTCAGGCAATCCACTTGCCTCAGCCTCCCAAAATGCTGGGATTACAGGCTGAGTCACCGAGCCTGGCCATCTATCTCATTTTATCGCCCCCAAAAGATAAAAGTATATTAAATGTCATCTTTAGTACAATCTCAAAAGGTATTCTGTCATCAATAACTTGAAAGATAAAAAATAGTGAGTTCTATCTTAACATTATTTAATATGCCACTTGGGCTTGTGAAGAAATAGTAAATGCAAGAAAAAAAAAAGAATTATTGTAAACTTAATTAGAAATACTTCCAACTGCTGCTGCTGTTTCTGTTGGGGTCTACATGTTGGAGTAGATAGCATGAAGCTCAGTAACTGATATAGAGCCATTAATCTGGCAAATGCTTATAACTATGTAGTAATTAGGAAGAACCTTCAGAAAGTTTGCTATTATACTTTGTGGAAGGCAGCATATCCTCACTGTATTAACTCAAAAATATGTCAGCTCTGTTCTATGTCATAGTACACAAGAACCTCAATTATTTCACCATACCTCAGAACACATTATCTTACTATATTGATAATATGGAAATTGGGTCTGGTAAGCAAGATACAGCAAATAACTTCTAGATTGACTTGTAAGATAAATGTGCCAAATGGTGTGAGATAAACCACATGCAAATTCAGAAGAAATTAATAAAACATTCATGACAAGGTCTTCCCTTTAGTAAGAAATGTCTAGTTGAATGATCAATATCTAAAACCAAAGACTAAACTTCTATTAGAATATCATTTCCCAGAAGGAACAGCAAGATTCTTGATGTCAGTTAAATTATATTGAATTCCTTCCATCACCTGGGGGGAGGAGGGTAGAGGAGCTATTCTTCACTAAAATAGTGATTCAGGTTATAAATGTTTTTAATCTTTTTCCATTTTTTTTTTTAGCACCACCTTAATTGAACTTGTTCTATACTTATTCAACATCATGTAATTTACACATCACTGCTCCTGAACAAGGAACTATTTTATAACCAAATAAGCAAAGGAATAAACTTATTATTGTGGAATTTATTAGTCTTGCTATGTACTCAATCCCTAGAAACAGTTGGACTGAAAGAGTGTTGAGATGACCGATTACAGACTTGGTTACAATCAATGTAGGTCAATGGCAATAGTTTGTCATGCTAAAATCTGCTATATAATTATATAAAAATACTGGGAAAATGTAAAATTTTTGGATTCTGGTCTTGGTCCTATTCTAAATTAGCTGGATGGTACTAAACAAATCAGTATAAATTTCCATATCTTAAAAAAAAGAAAATTAGAATTTGTATGTCTAGGAACATCAAAAGTAGCCAAAGTGTTTCAGAAAGACCCAGTAGCAAAAAGGTAACATTTTTAAAAAAGATTCTTATTTCAACATTTGAGAAATTTCTGTAGATTTTAGGTGATTATGTAGAGCTTCTCATAGCTATCAGATAGATAGAACTGATTTTGTTTGTCATTTAACTTGTCTCTTATATGAACAGTTCTTGACATGTTGGACTTCTGATCACTAAATAACTTTAATATATTTTTGGTTTTATTCATCTATATTTAATTTTTATTTTGATTGCCAAAATTAATATTAAATCTTAATGGTTTTTGTCAAATTTCATGCTTTGGAAAGATTTTGAATATTTTGAGTTTGCTGTACTTTAAGAGATTTTGATAATTGAAAAAATGAAAATATAGTAAGATCCATGGTTCTAGTAAATAATAAAAATTAACTCTTCTTTCATTTATCACTTAACAAACTCTTATTTTTGGCATGCATGTTGAAAATCAGGGTTGAATAATTATGATGGCAAAAAAAACCAGCTGCTAAATATTCCAAAATCAACATCAACCTAATAAAAGTGTCAAGCTTTATAAGTTACCATTGGTGTGGGAAATTTACTTTCTTAGAAAAAAACTACTAAACAAAATTATAATATTTCAGATAAATCTATTTATAATGAAACTGGAATAAAGATAACTATAGGACAAGCAAAAGCAACTGTTGTGAACCTTATAAATCATACATTATTGGATTTTAATTATGAATGCCTTTGACAATACAAAGTAAATGTTGATAAGCTCTCAAAACAGATCAACCTTATCAGTGCAGGTAAGGCAATCATGCAGTTCATTTGTCTTCCGCTTCAAAGATTAATCTCAATAAAATTGTTATTTTTTGAGCATTAGTTCTCCACCAAAATGCTTTCCCTTCAGTGAAATTTTACTGTTAGATCTAAAATACTAATATTTAAAAACATAGAATAAATACACTAAGATTTTATGTTCTTGCTTCCACAGTTTAGTTGCCTCCAGAAAGGAGTGCTGTAATTTAGAATGACAGTCTTTCACTTATTTTTTATTTCTTTTTCTTTTTTTTATTATAAAGATGTGGGGTACAATTCAGGGTTAGGTATACAAACGTTGATTATGCAGGTACCCTTGTTGAGGTATGCCCCTCCCTCCCCCAGCAGTTTCCCTCAACTGCCAATCCCACCACACCTCCTCTGACAGTTTCCCACTACTGCCAATCCCTTTCTTATAGTATTATAATTGTTCAGGTTTCATTTATGAGTGAAAACATATGGTACTCTGTTCTTTGTTTCTGTGATAGATCACTGAGTATGATTTACTCTAAATCCATCCAAGTTGTTGCAAGGTCCATATGTTCATCCTTCGCTATGGCTGAATAATATTCCATTGTGTATATGTATAACTTTTTTTTTGTCCAGTCCAGCTTCGACGGGCAACATGGTTGGTTCCATGTTTTTGCTATTATGAATAGAGCTGCAACAAACATATATGTGCAGGTATCTTTTTTGTAGAATGATTTGATTTCCTCCGGATATATTCCTAATAGAGGGATCGCTGGGTCATATGGAAGGTCAATTTTCAGAAATCGCCACACTGTCTTCCAAAGAGGTTGCACTAGTTTGCATTCCCACCAGCAGTGTAGAAGCATTCTTTTTTCTCTGCATCCTCGCCCGCATCTGTTGTTTGTTTTATTATGATGACCATTGTTCCTGGGGTTAGGTGGTTTCTCAATGTGGTTTTGATTTGCATTTCTCTGATGATTAGTGAGGCTGTGCACTTTTTCATGTTGGCTGCCTGTATATCTTCTTCTGAGAAGTGGAATGACAGCTTTTTAAATAGAAGTAATTCTATTTTAGGTTGTTGAGAATTTTATTGGGATAGTTTCTAAATGTAAGAAATATATACATATAGATGTGGTTACTAGTGTCATTAGATTAATATAGATAAGTTCTCATAAGCATGTTAGCTTCACTCAATAAAGTGAGTTTTTGAATTGTGAAGATACAATGGTTTGCAAATCTCTCTTATCTGAAGAGTTTGTTCTTATAGTTTTCCAAATACAATATGTGAAATAAAGAAAGACAAAGTTACTCTGGTTGAAGTTTGGATGAGAACAGTATAGTAATCTCTGGGGCTATGTCCCAAGTGGGCCATGTCCCCAGTGGGCCCTTGTACAAATACAATAAATCTGATGACTCGCCAGGGAATTATGAAAGCTCACAGTACTTTTAACCATTTATATTTGTAACAAAAACAGTTGGTTTAAAAAACTGTTTGAGGATATAGATTTATTCTCATGGCCAGATACAGACACACACACACACACACACACACACACACACACACACACACACAGAGCAAGGTCAAATTGCTCCTGTGTCCTTATTATCTATGTGAAAGAAAATAAAACACAATGGTGACTGGCATCATGGTTTCGTGCTTGCTTGTAGTCCCATCTACTCAGGAGGATGAGGTGGACTTAAGAGTTATAGTTTACAGTGAGTTATGATGACTGCCCATGGCTGTCCAGTATGGGCTCTGAGCAACAGAGTAAGACTCTGACTCAAAAAAAGAAAGAAAGAAAAAAAACACAATGGTGAAAGTAGATGGAAAGGACAAATGCAATTAGAAGAAAACTTTTGATCTATGTCATGCATAGTTAGGTCCTCTCCGCATTTGGGGGAAAAAAAGGAAATAAAACTGTAACTTATATTTTAAACTTCTAGAACTACATTTCTTAACTTTCTAATTCCTCTTTATTTCTTTGATCCACATAGTTGAGAATATTACTTGTAAAAACTTCCCCTGTATGTTCTCAAAGTCAAATAGTTTTGATATGACTGTTTTTTGTTTGCTTTTGTTTTTTAAACTACTTTTTATTTCATCATTCATAAATGTAGTTAGATGTCTTAGGCTGTTTCAGTTGCTATAACAAAATATCATAGACTGTGTGACTTATAAACAGCAGAGATTTGTTTCTTACAGTTTGGGAACTTGAAGTCCAAGATCCAGGTGCTGGCAAATTTGGTGTCTAGTGAGGGCCTGCTTTTTGGTTCATGGGTGGCACCTTCTCACTATCCTCACAAGGCGGAAGAGGGGAGGGATCTCTCTGGAGCCTCTTTTATAAGAAAGTGATAATACTAATCACATACAGGAGGGCTCTGCCCTCACAAATTCATCACCTCCCAAAGGCTTCACTTCCTAATACCATCACACTAGGGTTAGGTTTCAACATATGAATTTCATAAGGAAACAAACATTCAGATCATAGTATTAGACAACCACTTTCTCTGCTGGCTCTGAGATGAAGTTATCTTTTGGTCACTCCTAAATCACTAATGCTGTGTGAATTAGAAATATTGAGGCCAAACAAACTACAGGGAGCTTACCATTAGGATGAGAAAGAGGTTTTTTTCCTCCCATGGTGAGTTAATTTTATGTCAACTTATTTAAATTTTTTTTCTTTCCAGAGATAAATGAGGAAAGCAAAGAAGACTCACCTCAAATCCATAAATGCCCTACCTTGTTCTGGATTCTGTTGTGGTACTTTCATATTTTCATGCATAAAAACTACTTAGCTGCACAGTGCATAATAAACTATGGCACATTTATATGTGGCTTTTTTTTTTAATGGTTTGTGTGTGTGTGTTTCTTTATATATATATACACATATATATATAATTTTGAAGATTTGGGGTACAATTCAGATTAGGTATACATGTGGACATCATGCCAGTAAAATTTGGGCCTCCTTTTGGTCCCCACTTTGCCTAAGATCAGGTACCCTTGTTGATGTTGTGTCCCTTCCCACATCCCAGCAGTATCCCGCTACTGCCAATCCCTTTCTTATAGCATTATGGTAAATGTTCAGGGTCCGCTTATGAGTGAGAACAACGTGCTACTCTGTTCTTTGTTTCTATGATAGATCTCTGAGTATTATGGACTCTAAACCCATCCAAGTTGCTGTGAAGTTGATATGACTGTTAAGGACTCTGCGGTGTCTGAATTTTTACTTTAGTGCCAACTAATGAGTTAGTATGTTAAAGTTTCAGAGATGTTAGTAGAATGATTAAAATCTCTATCAGAAACAAAAAATAAAACTATTGTTTTACTCGCTACAATACTAATAGGAAGAATATTAGTATTTGTGTTGGTTTCTTAAGCTACAATTTCCATCAGCAAAGAGATCAAGTAAAACTTGCCCACACAGTGGGTGATATAATAGAAGAAGAACACTAAGTTTACAGAATGGAATTTGATACTTGGCAGTAGGCTTGTGTAAGGGAGGCAAATCTCACCTCCATCTTCTTAGGATCCCAGCCTAGTTTAAAAATCAATTTGACGTAAGATAAACAGAAGAAAAACATACAAATTTAACATGTTTATGTGACATGGGAGCTGTCGTAAGAAATTAAAGACCCAAAGAATTAGCAAAACCGAAATACTTTTTAATTAGTTGGAACAAAGAGAAAACTGTGGAAAAGTAACTAAATTATATGGGGAGGTTAAAGGAATATAAGAATTATTTTGTCAAAATCTGTGAATTCTCTTGCCTATGATTTCTCATCAAAGAATTTTTTTCTCCTAGTACAGGGAGGGCATATTTCCCACGGAAGTTTTTATCTCCCATTGTCTGGAAGAAAAGAGAGTGATTATAATGCTCTTTTTGTATTTGCTGTTTTTCAAGTGCCTTTAGTTCAATACATATATGTGTTGTGTGTGTGTGTGTGTGTGTGTGTGTGTGTGTGTGTGTGTACCAAATATATACAGAAGTGGATACTATCTCTATTATCCAAGGTTGTTTGTTATGCAAATATCTTTGAAAAGATAGATCAGAACAAAGCAGTTAGTTCCTTTGCTTACAAGACACACAGAAGCACAAGAAACCTGTGGAGAATTATCTCCTAGTGATAAAATCACATTTTTAAAACCTCTCTGAAGATATTATTAAGGAAAAGTAAAATGAAAAGAGCAAAATAAAACAAGTAATATTAAAAAAGGAAAGAACAACTACGTATCGACTGATTACTGCAAACCACTGCCTTGTGAAACTATGGCAAAATCACCTATTATAGATAGAAGGTAAAACCGAAGAAACATATTTGACAGGTGCATAATAAACACATTTAATAGATTAAAAATCCAAATATTTGGATGTCTCCATTATGTGCTCCTGAAGCCCTCTGTTCTCTCATTTTATGAAGTTCTCTGGAGTGTCATATGTCTTACCGCTGACCCTCTCCATTAGATGGGAAGCTCTGTGAGATGAAGTGCCATGTTGGTGTGGGTGAAGACTGGATCCTAAGCACCTAAAACACTGCCAGGCACATGATCAGCATTTGATTAACATCAGCAGGAGAAACAAATAACACAATAGCTTATGTATCATTGATGGTATTTATACAGTTCTACAATTATTACATTGGCATTTCTTAGAGATGCAATAGATCATGAAAACCTTGATTTCTGGACTGGGCCCTACTCATTCTGATGCCCACAGTGCAGTGCACAACCCAACACCTGCCATATGGTAGGTTGGCATAAAAACTTGTGTATGTACCATTAAGCTGTAAACAACCTTTAAGGAAAACTAAGATCAAGAAAAGTTTGACTTTGCCTAGTGTTACAGAATCACAGAGCTAAATTACACAGTGACTAAATTACAGATTTCCACACTTTATGCTATGATTTGTGTAACCATCAGAACCTTTTCCTTTTAACTCAAGAGACTAGTGGCTTCTCTGACAACATTACTATGAGTATTAAAATCAATGTTCATAGGACTCACAAACCAACTTTTCAACAGTTTGTTGTAAATATTTTTATAAAACTAATTTTGAAATGGAACATATTCAATGCAAGATAACTATATGTAATTACTAGAAAATAATTAAAATATAAAAATTATAAAAGATAGCAAAAATATAAATATATATTTATATATATAGTAGAAATTTTTTAATAGTAGATTTAATTAATTATAGTAGATTTAATTAATTATAGTAGATTTAATTAATTATAGTAGAAATATATATAAATATATACTATGTATATATATATATAGTAGAAATATATATATAAATATATACTATGTATATATATATATATAGTAGAAATTTTACACGGGGAAAAAAACTCCAGGAGTTGTTTAGGAAGAACCCAACCTCTAGAGGAAGACCAAGCAGAACAAGACTACAGAGGAGATAACTAGGAGTACAGACAGGTTGGCTTGCCATAAGAGCTTGCCATAACCCCATGGAAGGTGGACAGTGATATTTAATGGGTCAAGGCCTGAAATTTTATTATTCAAAGCACAGCAAACATCAGGAGGTTCAGCAGAGATGTGCTCATTCTCCTATCCCCATATCCACAGGGAGATTCCTCAAGTTCTGATAGATGCTATGCTGATGGTAGACTTGCTTTAGGTAAGAAATATAGGCCCAAGGCTCAGCAGTTTTTGCCCAAGCAGCAGGCTTATAACAAGCTACAAGCAGGTCTGCCCATTTCCCAAGAAAGGAACAGATACAGGGTGATTACATTTTGGTCATCTGGGTTATTTTGTTACCTTCTAACTACAGAAACTGCCCAGTTTTAGGAGACAGACAAACCTTGGAGAGTAATTCAATTAGCAAGAATTGCTGGGATTCTCACAGGCTATAGAGGACTGCCTTTCCCATCCATGGTTTTAGCCATCACTCCTTTCAAATAACATTAACACTAAACAGATTCCTGTAAGTGTTTGCCAACAGCAAAGATTCTTTGCTTCACCAAACTTTAATCAGACCCCTGCACCTTTTCCTAAGCCCATCTCTGCACTCCCCTGTAAAATGTAGTTTTAGCAAATCGGCTAAGTCACTTTAACAAGACTCCACCCCAGCCCGCACACTTAATATCTGATCACCCTCAATGTCTAACCACTTTTTAGATCTTCCTCCATTTCTCAGGTGATGTTTGATCACCCTGGTCTGTTTTCAACAAAAATACTGCTAGGTCGGTTTAGCCAGGGCCCATCTTACCCATGATACTTTCCTCTTAGTAATTTTTATCCACTGACCCTCCACACTGCTCCTTAAAAATAAATTCTCATTTGCTCATGCTGTGTTCAGAGTTGATCCCAATTCTCTTCCCCACTAAAAAATCCCATTGCAGTCGTCCCTATGTCTGTCTTGACAGTCCTGAATAATGTCATCCTTACTGTGTTGTAACAGTTATAATTTAATAATTTTTCCCTTTAGCATCATCAAAAGATTCATCTCCTGGATTATTTTAAAATAATTTATCTTATTATAGCAATTATCCCAATGCATATTGAATTCATAGTGATAATTAATCTCTATATTGCGCAATCCACTAATTTCTAATGAAGTGAAACCCTATAGTAATGACTTTATAAACAAAAACCCCAACATTAGAAGATATTAACATCTGTTTTCACATGCCTTCCTTTGATATTCTAAAGAGTCACTGCTTGTATGAACAAAAAAGAATCAAAACATTTTATCTGTATTTCCTAAACTTATATATTACTAGTATCCTTGCAATTCTAGCCAAGAATAAAATAACTGAACCCTTAAGGACACCAGAAACATTTTCTACCAAATATTGGAGAATATTACAATGATAGTAGATAATATATTTTTGACAAATTATCTCTAACCATGTCTTTTAAGGTTAAGTAAAATATAAAACAAATTGACAAATGTTTTTAAATGGAGTTCCTAGTTGATTTAGGTTAATATTATAATCACATAACTATTCACTTGATAACTGATTCTTTCTTGATCATATATGCATGTTACCTTCATTGCTAATCATCATAATGCTAATGAAACATTAGTAAGTTACACATTAATACAGTTTAAACTTCTTACAGTGCCATGACCTGTGTCTCATTTTATTTTTCATAAAACACTTAAACAAGTCTTGTCATACCATTTTGGAAATGGTACACTGGCATAGATGCTGGTTTTGCCCATTACATTGGCAGTTAACTGGAGAGTTAATGAATATATTTCTGACATGCCAAATCTGGAATTCAGATTACTTTGCCACTGCCATAGACCCTCGGGAGCCTGGAGGATATGTTTCTACTGATTTGGCAGCTCAATCTTTCTTGGCTGGGAAAATAAGCAATAGTTAATGATCTACTTAGGAGTGGAAATCCTTTAAAATTCAGAAAAATGAAACTTTATAGTAAGTAAAGACTGTTATGTACCATAGAGAAGGACTTAGAAAATGTAAGGAAATACACCTCTTCCATATTTAAAGAGGCAATGCACACAAAAAACAGTTAAGTAATACAAAGTAGATGATCTTAGCCCCCAATGGAATTTCGCAAAGATTATGATAGATTTGTTGATTTACAATTCTTATAAAAATTGATTTGTTTATTGAGAAATTTTATAAAATTATAGAATTTAATAAAAATTTTAAAGTCAGATATTGTCTAAATTGCCAATGAGATAAAAAGGAATAAAACATGAGGAATAAAATGTAGTTCTGACCTTAAGAAACTTACAGAGAGGGCAAAAATAACATGCAACTGGAAAAAACAAAAATTTCCTACTACATGGGAAAATTGCCTTGACTGTCT